CGCTGCTGGAGGCGGAATTCAAGTGCCAGATTAAAGCGTAGAAAGTGAACTGAAAAAATCCGTTTTGCCAGAAAGTGTGCTGGTTTGCAAGGGTGCTGGATAAACAAGTGCCGGATTAGAGAGGGACGACTGTAATACGGTAGAACAAACTAGTACTTGAAGTACGTGTACTAAGGCCCATAGTATGTCATGTATGGGAACAAGGGGAAGTTAGTTTACAGACTTGAAGTACCCGGATAGAACAAACTAGTACTATTGTGGATGTTCAGTTTACAGACTTGAAGGACCCGGATAGAACAAACTAGTACTATTGTGGATGTTCAGTTTACAGACTTGAAGTACCCGGATAGAACAAACTAGTACTATTGTGGATGTTCAGTTTGCAGACTTGAAGTACCCGGATAGAACAAACTAGTACTATTGTGGATGTTCAGTTTACAGACTTGAAGTACCCGGATAGAACAAACTAGTACTATTGTGGATGTTCAGTTTACAGACTTGAAGTACCCGGATAGAACAAACTAGTACTATTGTGGATGTTCAGTTTGCAGACTTGAAGTACCCGGATAGAACAAACTAGTACTATTGTGGATGTTCAGTTTACAGACTTGAAGTACCCGGATAGAACAAACTAGTACTATTGTGGATGTTCAGTTTGCAGACTTGAAGTACCCGGATAGAACAAACTAGTACTATTGTGGATGTTCAGTTTACAGACTTGAAGTACCCGGATAGAACAAACTAGTACTATTGTGGATGTTCAGTTTACAGACTTGAAGTACCCGGATAGAACAAACTAGTACTATTGTGGATGTTCAGTTTACAGACTTGAAGTACCCGGATAGAACAAACTAGTACTATGGCCCATAGTATGTCATGTATGGGAACAAGGGGAAGTTAGTTGGCCGGTTCCCACACTACAGCTTGCGCTTTTCCCGTCGACTTGCCAATCGACTGACCCACAACTGCCATCAAGAGTATCACCTGAAGAGGAACATCATGTTAAAACACAACCAGCGATAGCAAACAGAGACGCTCCCTTTCCAGCTCGACTGAGAACACCTCGTGAACACCAGGTAGCAACGTCAATCAGTGGTAGACTATTGTTACCTTTGAGCGGACACGGAGACCGTGGATAGTGTTGGCACGACGCATATTGGCTGCGAGAACGTGATGGAATGAATCAATGTTAGTCTTGACGGAAAGGTTATTATACATGTACATGTGTGCGCGCGTGTGAGCGCTCTCGCGCGGGCGCGCGCGCGCGTCTGTGCGTTTGTGTGTGTGTGTATTATGAAAAATAGGGATGCACCGGCCAGAAAAAGCCACTTCAATCAGCTGTGTGGTGGATACCAGGCTAGAAAATAGTGGCGGTCAATTCATCAGCCTTGCAAGCTGTTGATGAATGGTGTAATCCCAGCACAAGTTGCTATGTCTAGCATAGCTGTTCGCTATCATCGCTTCCGCGATGGGCATGTGTATGTGTGTGTGTGTATGTGTGTGTGTGTGCGCGCGCGCGCGTGTGTGTTTGTGTGACGGATTCACTGGCCAGAAAAAAGCCACTTCTGTATGGTGTTGTAGACCAGGAATAAACTACTGTGTGTATACTTCAAGTACTATTGTCGGTCAATTCATCAGCCTTGCAATCCGTTGAATAGTGTAATCCCAGCACCTGTTTGTTCGCTATCATCGCTTCAGCGATGGGCATGCATGTGGAAGTGGGGCAGTGGGAAGTGTGTGCATGTGTGTGTGTGGTGTGTGTCTGTGTGTGGGTGCGTATGACGCGTGTGTCTGCACAGTCTAGCCGATCAGCATTATTAGCTGTTGTCACCATGTCCCGCGGTGTGACAATTTGCACGCGATCAAAAACCAGCGACTTGTCAACTTCCAGCATGAACGTTGACAATCCAGGAATTCTATTGTCAATTATGAGTTCTTTATCCACAATCATGCACATCGTGGAAAAGATGGCGTGATACGGGCCAACACAGCAACACAGTACAGAACCTGTACTCTCTGAGACTCTCTCAGTGAAGCAGAATTCACTCTGACCACCTCAGGCAGAACGTGCGGCTCAGCTACTGCGCCAAACCAGAGTACCCATGCCAAGTCAGGCAAGTGGGAAGCAAAATAGCGACTACAAAAGTACGTGTAACAATAATACGCTCCCTACTTGCGTACATAAAAATCATTACATGTCCAGCAAGCAGGTGGGTACGGGTGTGGACGTGGCCTTCACACTGTTCACAGTACAGGCGGATCAACACTGACAACAGTCACCTGCTTTGACTCTTGGGACGTTGCATTGGAGAGACTGTATGCGCATGTGCGAGCAGGCTTGCTCTTGGTTGGTTGGTTGGATTTATTTAAAGTCGTACAACAAACAGGCATATCTGCCTCCTTATATGAAGACGACTTCTGGCAGTAAAACATTTTAAAGAAAATAGAAAGGAAAAAAAAGAAAGAAAAAAAGAAGAAGAAGAGAAGATCAAGTATTGAGCATACAGCTAGCCGGAGACTGAGCATACAGCTAGCCTCGGCATGTATCAGAGCATCAGGATTACTACATACTACTACTAGTAAAGGACGAAACAGTTCTGTCCGCAGATTGAGTATTTCGCTCCTGCTCTTGTAGCAGTTGAGCACTCTTGCGTGGGGTAGTGCCTTTGCTGTTTGCTTTATGCAGAGCTCACTGACTTGTCAGTTTGAGCACTCTGGCAAGGTTCGTTCGGGCCTGATTGGAAATTTTTATTTCCATTGCTATCAGGTTCGGCCTCATTTTCTCTGTGCTGCGCTGACGAGTCCACAAAGGACGAAACAGTTCTGTCCGCAGATTGAGTACTAGTCTACTACTAGTACTATACTCAAGATAGGGGAGGGGGGTTGCTGTCATGCTAAAGTAAGACAATACGCGTGCAACACACCCTTGAACTGGAGGGGGGACGTGATGTTTCTCTTCGTGGTGTCTTGAAAGTTGAGGCAGCTCAGAGGTAGATCTACAGTAGTCAAATCCAGGGAGTCGTAAAAGCCCGGGAGAGCACACGGCACACATTACCAGAAAACATCTTTGCCTCGCGCTGCCGGGGAACGCTGCCAGGGAACGATGTTGCGAGGAAAGGAAATTATTATTCTCGAAAATTGTGATGTCTTCTTGAAATACTAATTGGGACATTCTCCGATTTCTCTTAGAGCACGGAGACGATTGCTCCGTCGAGTCTTCTGATCTCTATTTTCATCCTCAATTCTTCCAGCTGCCTCACTCATTCTCTCTTAGTTTATCGAAGTTAATTTATTCTGAGGCGATGGACATGCAAGATAAATCCCTAATTGTACTTCACTTTTATTTGAGTTGGGGTGAACGAAATGAGATTTGTGGAAAATGACGCCACTTCCCGTGTTAGCCGCTGGTCGTATCATACAGCCCATATTCCATTGCAGGTGATGGGCGAACGTTCGTGTTGAGATCCGCTGAGTTTCCTCGTACTCGTGGAGTTGAATTTGTGGCAGAAATTGCACTGAATTGCAGTCAAATGGTTGTGAATGAAACGAGATTTGTGGAAAATGACGCCACTTCCCGTGTTAGCCGCTGGTCGCATCATACAGCCCATATTCCATTGCAGGTGATGGGCGAACGTTCGTGTTGAGATCCGCTGAGCTTCCTCGTATACGCATACTCGTGGAGTTGAATTTGTGGCAGAAATTGCACTGAATTGCAGTCAAATGGTTGTGAATGAAACGAGATTTGTGGAAAATGACGCCACTTCCCGTGTTAGCCGCTGGTCGTATCATACAGCCCATATTCCATTGCAGGTGATGGGCGAACGTTCGTGTTGAGATCCGCTGAGCTTTCTCGTACTCGTGGAGTTGAATTTGTGGCAGAAATTGCACTGAATTGCAGTCAAATGGTTGTGAATGAAACGAGATTTGTGGAAAATAACGCCACTTCCCGTGTTAGCCGCTGGTCGTATCATACAGCCCATATTCCATTGCAGTTGATGGGCGAAAGTTCTTGTGGAGATCCGCTGAGCTTCCTCGTACTCGTGGAGTTATGAATTTGTGTCAGAAATTGCACTGAAATTGCAGTCGAGTGGACTTCTGTGCGTGTGTTGTGAGTGAATCGCAACGGCTCCCTTCCTTCAGCATCGTCAAAACGCACCATAGAGCATTATTACGCACTCGTTCCATGATTCATGATATTGCCTGGATTCTTTTAAAAACAATCAATGTGTGTTCCCTATCTATCTACATTGTACATGGTTGCAGGTCGTTATTTATAAATCTTGATAATTTCAACACTTTTCTACTCGTATACTGAGCACGCGGTGACTTTAGCCATTTAGGAAACGGAAAGCTCAGCCTCCAGGTTGGCCAGAAAGGTTCTCAGTGAATCTAACCGAAGTCTTGGTGAGTGTACAAAAGGTAAACCTATCATTGTACTTCATAACGGAATTGTGCACAAAAATGCGCACACACGCACGCGCGCGCGCACACACACACACACAAACACTGTACAAACACACACAAAAGTACAAGCACATGTGCACATACACACGCCTCTCCCCCCCCCCCCCCCCCCTCCCCCACACACACACACACTCAACTCCCCACCCCCTGTACCATGTGTACTGAGTCTGACAGACAGACACACAATCATGTTTATGCTTCCTTCGCCACCAGTTTCGGATATGGTGTCAACAACGAGTTGTAAAATATTGGTATTTTAGGACTCCCTGCTCTGAAGACGAGCACAGCGCCGTGGATCGAGCAGATCCGGCCGCGCCGGCCTAGCGTGCTTCACTTTCTGGCCGAGGCAAACAACGTTACGTCCGCGTGCGCGCATCCCGTGTCCTCTCCCGATCCCGGGCTTTTACGACTCCCTGGTCAAATCTATGCTTCAAGTAACAGCAATCTGGACCTGAGTTATAAATAATTATTATAATGCGCTGGAGCCGCAGCACGCATGCATCGTGTGGATTTCCAGAGCACAGTCCAAACAAAATCGGACTATGAGTATGAGTATGATGTAGTTCAAAATCACTTACCTCTAGACTATAGCAGTTCTGTTTCGAATCGTTCCCAATGGCCAGCTCTTCGGGCCAGAGGAGCCAGGTCTCCGCCGAGAACCTAGTCCCGTCCAAGTATTTGCTACGTGGCGTGGACCAGGCCGAGCATATCTTAGGACGAGGTGCGTACGGAGTGGTGTTTTCAGGGGATTGGCGTGGCACTCCTGTAGCGATAAAACGACACCACCCCATTCTTGTCCTCGATGAACATGGACAGTTCTCCACATTCTACCGACAGTTTCTGCAAGAGTTTCCGATGTTGAAGGAGTTGCCACATCCGAATATTGTTCAGGTGTTTGGCATGGTGGCAGCGACTGGACCTTACGACACACCTGGATTGGTCATGGAGTGTCTTTCGCAGACGTTGCGTAAACGTTGCAGCGTTCAGCCAGCGTTATCTCTGTTGGAAAAAGGCAGCATCGCTCTAGGTGTATCTTCTGCCTTGGATTATCTGCATAGTCGCAGTATCATCCACAGGGATCTGACGACCAACAACATTATGCTGTGTGAGGTGGTTGAAGCTGGGGAAGTGCAGCTGAAGGCAAAGATTACAGACGTTGGTGGAGCTGCAGAGCTGGATGACAGGACACAGGCGCAGATGATGACAATGAACCCTGGAGCCCAGACGTACATGGCACCAGAGACCCAGCGTGTATCCAATGAGCCTGGCCGGGCGCAGTACGGTACACCTGCCGATTGTTACTCGTTTGGTGTGTGCCTGCTGGCCATGTGTGTAGGCAAGGAGCCTCCCAACATTTTCGAACTGGCACGCGAGGGAAGAACGAGAGATCTCCGAGCTCTTGGCTCTGACCATCCGCTTCATGACATGATCAGCAGGTGTTTGAAAGTGGATCCTGCTCATCGTCCGAACGCGACCGACATTTGTGCCGGTATCGGAGCAGTGACTGAGATCCTACGCAGGCAGCAGCAGCCTGCAGCTAGCAGGTCCACAGCTGCAGATACGCAGGTGGACGTGAGTAAGCCGTCTCCCGACCAAGCCGAGATTGCACGTCTGCGTCAGGAGCTGCAGGAACAGCTGCGTAGTGCTGAACACCAGCGGGACACGGCTCAGCAAGCTATTCAGGATCGGACGGCCCTGCTTGCGGAAAGGGACGAACTGCTGAGGGAGCGAGATGCAGCAGCTCTACAGCTCAGCGCTAGTGCCGAATCAGCAGACGTGCACAGGGCGAGAGAATCGCTGATGCATATTGCATCCCTGGAAGGAGAGGCTGGCTTGCTGGCTCGTTATTCACTTCTTCTTGGTCCACCGCCGTTGCCAACAGATGGAACCCGGCCAAAAGCCACGGTAAGTTTTTTTATGTAAAACGTGTCTTTAGGTCCTTCTGTACATGGCTAGTAAAATGGCTAGCCAACCATTATCAAATAATATGCTTGTAGCCTTCTAGGACCTCAATCACATGGTGTTGGTCTGAGGAAAGTGCGTCCTCCATTCAAACCTTATTTCAGATCACAGTAAAATTATCTAACCGCCATACTGGCGGAAGCAACTTTGATTGGCCCAGCCATAGTCCATAGTCCTTTACAGTTCCCATACTATGATATGGTGGATACACGTGTCCTTCTTGGCAGTAAACATTGGTTTGGGTGACCAAGCAGTTGGTTCGTGCTGGTAGGGTTTCGCCGTTGACGAATGAACACAAGGAGAGATGGGAAGCGAGGGTTTGGGGGAGATATCATGGCACGAAAGTTGCGGATGTAGCAGTGATGGCAGGATCTGGAAAGGTATTTTACGTAGTTGCGTTGGTGTTTGTATTTGTTGAGATTTGTTGGGGATGGGTATTTCCGGTAAATGCTGTAGAGATCACTGTTGACTTTAATAGCTGTTTTCGGTGATGCAGTCATCCAGGCCAGGCGCGTACGCAGTGGGGAGGGGGTCCCGTTGCCCAGAACCCCCCAAATGTTCCAAACGAGAAACGTTTTTGGGCATTTTTGGTAGGGCGTGCGATCGATCTATCTACCAACTTAGCAAGAATGCAAAACTTCACCTGATCGTAGCTAAATAAAGTTTTGCTGAAATCCAATGTTCCAAACATCCAAGTCGAATAGAAAACTCTCAGCTGTCTGTAGAGACAATTGGCGTAGCGCTGCGAGTAATGTTTCTTGACATAAATCATTCGTAATAATTGAGCCGGGATCTCGGCAATTTCAAAAGCTCACAGTGCGACTTGAGTATCGAGAATTTGAGACTTTTCGTCATGCTGACTTGCAGGCAGACACAGTGGGAACCCGGAACTCATCAAAATGGCCACCATATCGGATATTTGGTGTGCTACATAATAATAATAATAATAATAGTGACTAGTAGTGTCTGCTCCAGAGCCGGGTCAGCAACCCGGCGGGTACTTGGACTTGTTTGGAAAACGAACACCCGGTCGCCTGTGACACAGTTGGGAATACAATAAATTATATCAAGGAGCCCTACAATAATTACAACTCCCTGATGTACATACAGTAGCCGCACTTGAACAGACGGCAGGCACAGTGACTTGGTCAAAGACCATGATTGAGATAAGAGAGATACCTGGTTCAAGTCCTGCCGGGGAGATTTTTTCAGCCGTGCTGCTACCCACAGTCAACTGGGAACTTGTGGCCAGGCACAAGGGGTACATTGATGGAGCTAATGGGGTCGTTCTCGGCACTTGTGCCAGTGGTTGTGAGACTTATCCACTCACCCCCACCGTTAGGCGCTGCATCTGCGGCTAGGGTTTACCGGGTGTTAGCGGCCGTCGTCAGTTCCCTTTGGGAACGGACACGATAATTTCTGTTTTTTACTTGCTCAAATTTGCAGAGGTTTCACTTGTGATAGTCCCAAGAGTACACAGCAAAAAACGAAACTCTGCGATCTAGAAAAATGAAATCACTGGAGCAGGACGCGTTTGCAATTTGGGCCTTTGGAGCATTTTTCCCACCGTCGCTAGCTGCACTCTAGCACTGGATATACATGTACAATGTCCTTGCATTCATGGTTGACTTCATTTTCTTCCTCTCCCGGATACAGTACCTTTCTACTTCCAGGAAGCCCAATGTTATGATTGAGTGAGTAGAACCAAGGAACACGAAAAATGCATAATTTTGAAAATTTCCTAGGGCTCTGTTGAAAGGGTTAAAAGTTAAAACTCATTGTTTGTGATTCGGTTGGATCCCCTCTAGAGGTGACCCTGCGTACGCGCCTGCCAGGGGCAGGGTTTGTGACGTGGTGTCGGACGAGGAGGTGAGGATCTTCCAGTATTTGTCCAAGGCACCTTCAACGATGTCAGTAAATGCGGAGACAGCCGGGGTCGATGCAGTGGGAGGCAAGGACCTGAGACCAGGGCACATCTGCGAGAAAACATTCATGGCATTCCACATGTTATCTGTGGCAGTCCAGACATTGTATCTATAATGTAGATGGTGGGCTACGAAGGGGGGGGGGGGGGGGTGCTGTGGGGGAAGACTTTGATTAGGAGAGCTCAGCCAGCAGGACGGCATGGTCTGATGCGCCAAGAGGAGGCAGATGTTGAATGTGGTTGAGTTGGTTAGGGATGTTGCTCGCGAAAAGGTCTAGACAGCTGGCAAGTCCAGACGAGCGGAGGTGTGTGGGAAAGGTCACTGATTGGGTCAAATTATAGCACAGAAGAGGTTTTAAGACCAGCCGTAATACCTACAGTTGAAGTCGACTGATATCACAAGGGCCTCTGGCTTCCTTTCAGTTGAATGCAGGGCTATTTGGAAGCGGTCGAGAAAAGTCGAGAAGTCATACGGCGATGGGGAAGGAGCACGGTCGATACAGGCTACTGTTACAGGGGCGTAGCACCCGCTACGACGGGTACGACCATGGCCGTACCACTTTACGAAAAGTGTGGTCCGTCCGAAACGTGCAAAACCGTAATAAAAAAATCAGGATCCATCGATTCATACATGCGCGCATCAGACTTTGACCTTTTTCTAGACTCGTACGAGTCCTCGTAGATCTGCCATGCATCTGCAGTCGTACTGAGTACTGTACTCGACTCGACTGCACACTGCGCCAGAAGTGTGCCAGAAGTTCCCAGAACGCAGGATTTTCTATCTTTTTTACAAATTTTCCCGGCGGACGTCCCCCGACCCCCTCCAACACGGCCTTCGGCCGCACCGACCTTCGGTCGTACCACTTCTGAAACCCCTACTACGCCCCTGCTGTTAGGTAGTTTTATTTGTAATAGCTAGCGCAACATGCATGCTGCAATGACATCCACAGCATGTGTTACTGTAAAGTTTACACCCCAGCTAGCTAACCAAGGATCTCTCTCCTCTAATAATGTTTATAATTATTTCAGTTTTCAGTTAAAATAGAAAGAACGCATGTGAACGAACATGGCTTAGTATCGGAGTTCAGTTTTCAGTTAGCTTGAATGTGTGGTAGCAACTTTGGCAATAATTATGAGAAGATTGGTTGTTCTCAGTGCTCGGCATCGCCTTTTTCCAGCCAAGCTGACTTGTCATGTTCAGTCCCCTGGTTCTTATTGTTACCTGGTGTTCACGGCGTATTTGCGTGGAGCTCAGATTCACAACATAGAACTGTCTTTTTCCATCCTGTTCACATCATGATTCACATCATGAACATGAGGATAGTGAGTGTTGGTTTGTGTTCTTATTTTTCCTGTGTTTCAGTGGAAGACTGTCGGGAAATTTCCAATTCCAGAAGGTGAGCAGGCACTGGTGTATTGCGCTGCATGTGTTGATGGGAAGGTCAGTGTTGTTCTGATGGCTTTAAGCAACAACTACGCGTGTAGGATTGTCGGTGCTGCTGCAAACAACCTTGCGGAAACCGCCTGGGTCGATATATACCCGCCGGAAAATGTCCGTGGCGATCCCGGCGAATCGATTGTGTACTCCGTTTTGCCGCATAGTGGTAGCCTGTACTGCCTGGCATTCCACTCGGTCAGGCCAGCCATTCTTTACAAGTGCTTGCAAAATGATCAGTGGCGGGAAGTGGCACGACTACCGGAGTTTCGCACTAGATTTGGTTTGACTTTCTTTGACACCCAATTCATAGTCGTTGGAGGCTCTACTTCTACGGACACCAGCGTCTTTGTTCCTGGTCAATCGGATGTCATTTCCTTCGATCTGACTGAGGGGAACACAGAGTGGGTTGCTTGGCCGAACCTACCTGCATCTGCCGGCATGCTGCTTTCCCCGCGAGCTATCGTGTATGATGGCTACCTGCATGTGTTTACAGGTGCTCTTGACCAGCCAGCTGCTACACACGTAGTCTTCTCAACGCCGGTTACACAGCCTGTGAGATCACGTACCTGGTCTAGCACTGTACTGCCCCATCCACCGCTCAGGGAGTTACTTTCACGGCTTTTAAACGGTTGTTTGATTTGCTTTAAAGACGAAGTTGGCATTGGTCCAAGTCAGGGAGAAACGATCTTCATGCTGTCACCAGTTTCTCGCCGGTGGGTTCCACTCCCGAACACCGACCTCTTGAACGGCCATCCTTGTAATGTTGATGGCCGTTTGGTAGTCTTTACGCCAAGTAAAATCAAGCAGCTCTGCTGGGAGTAAGTACCCGCAAGTAAACCAAGAGGGTTGTTGGAGTCTTTGTTTCGACGGTAACGGAGGTTCCAATCTGCATTTATGTCTTTCTTTGCAACACTACGACTCTCTCCACCAAAAGTAAACGCTTAGATTTTTCCTTAAAAAGAGATCACTGCAGGTATGCTCTCTGCTTTTCAGAATTGTATAGTTTGGCACTCCTAGTTTAGAACTGTGTGCTTCTCCCAGCCAACTTGAGTTGATTCGTGGTGGACTTTTTGTATACTAAATCGGACTCTATGTCTTGAGTATTGCGTACCGGAAGATCTCATAAGTACCCAAATTCACTGGCTATCCCGCAGTCGCTTTCTCTTCACATTGATCTGTATTCATTTTGTATCGACTGAAGCATCATAGTCGAACGCTTCTCTTTTCCTGCACAAGCCCCCCCCCTCCCAATCAATGTTCGCTTTTTCTTGATTCCATGCCCAGAGTTCCATTTTGCGGCAATATTTGCCGCCTGTGATTTTTAAGCGGCCGAGTGCTTTAGGTAGTTATAATGACCCCGTAGTACCGTCGGGTCTATGGAGCCCCACTTGTTGCTTATTAGACTACACAAATGACTGTTTATTGTGCATAGTGACCCCTCGAACTGCTCGCAATAGCATTACGTGTACGTGACATAGCACACACATTCAGTTTCTCTAGTATAACAACTTCACTTTTTTCTTGGATATTATATTTTCTTATAATTATATTCATATACATGTATGGACTGATCTACATGTATTTGCCCCGCAGGATTGCAGGATTGCATGGCTACTTTGATCGTGATGGTGTCATGCTTTTCCAATCAGTGGATCTTAAACTTAAACTTGCATGAGTACAGGACATGTAATATCTTGCTTGGGCATAATTTTGGTTCTTGTCACCTGTTCTGCACAATCTGGAAAAGCTCTCCCCTTGTAGAGCGGAACAAGCTCAAGCTGGCTACTGCGTCTGTAGATTCGCACATATCCAGCGCTACGGCCCGCGAAATTATCACGGAGCTGGATATATGAGCAAAGTTATATTCCCGCCTCCCTGACTGAGTCTCGAATATGCATGCGGAACAGTATTACAGTAGCACCACAGAACCAAATGAGATTCGGTTAGTATTAATTTAAAGGGGAAGTTAAGGCAAAAATCAAAATTTCACCAGTTGTAGTCTTCGGGGTGCTGAGTCGAATGGTCGTGGTCCGAGGAAGCTGAGACGCTCCCTTCCTACTTGAATCCCAATCGAACTCGCGCACTTCCACCGAAACTGGGTGACTGCGCCCTACTAGATGGGGATTTGTATGCAAAATGTCACTAAAAGCGCCATTTCGTTCTTATAAAAGCACGGATGACCGCGATTGGCCCATATGTTGTAGTCTTTTGGACGCTGAGTCGACTGGTTTTGGTCCGAAAGGGCTGCGATGCAGCGTTCCTCCTGTATTCCCAATCGAACATGGTTGAAGAAGTGGTCACGTGCTCCTGCGTACGCCAGTCACCTGGTCACCGTGCCTGCAGGGTACAACTTACTAGCCTGTTTGACCTTTTTTGGGTGCAGTCCTGTCACTCGAGTTGAACTCGAGTTGAACCTTGGTGTGAAAGTTGTCGCCTGCTGGCGTGGTGACCAGGTGATTTGGGCACCCAGGAGCACGTGACCGCTTCTTCAACCATGTTCGATTGGGAATAAAGGAGGAACGCTGCATCGCAGCCTTTTCGGACCAAAACCAGTCGACTCAGCGTCCAAAAGACTACAACATATGGGCCAATCGCGGTCATCCGTGCTTTTATAAGAACGAAATGGCGCTTTTAGTGACATTTTGCATACAAATCCCCATCTAGTAGGGCGCAGTCACCCAGTTTCGGTGGAAGTGCGCGAGTTCGATTGGGATTCAAGTAGGAAGGGAGCGTCTCAGCTTTCTCGGACCAAGACCATTCGACTCAGCACCCCGAAGACTACAACTGGTGAAATTTTAATTTTTGCCTTAACTTCCCCTTTAAAGGGAGAATTGTCCGTTGGTCTTTGCAACCCTTAGTGGTATAGTACATTGTATATGGTGTTGTGAAGTTCAGTGGAGCTCTTGTAGTTTATGATTTGACTACTGCGGAGTAGGAGCATGCAGCCTCTTCAGCAAAAATCAGAAGCCCCGCATTGAATGAGCGTGGATGATGGCCCTCCCTATCCGCCTAGTACTACCGCCTGTATAAGGGTATTCAGTCTAAGTGGATGTGAAGAGACTAGTGGAATGGGGCTTGGACTAAACCAGTACAGGTACAACATCATTCGTGACCACAGTCAGTCGCACGTTGCATGGAACATACTAGTGTTCTAACTTATTGTGGCATCTGTAGTAGTAGTCACTGTGCTGGCAGATGGATTGAGGAAACGGTTTTGGACACTACAGCATTCCTGATGGCCCTTGGCGGACAGAGTGGGCAGATACAATGTAAATCGGCAGAAATCCGTATTTTTTGTGGTGTATTCTATGCGTGTACGAGGCAAGGACAGAAGAACAGTCCTTGCTCTGTTTTCTGTTCCTCTTCTCCTGCCTTATACATCTTTCCATGCATCAAATACACCAGAAAAAGTACCGAATATATGTTTAAAAAAGAAGAGTAAATTATCGTGTCCGTTCCCGAAGGGAACTCACGACGGCCGCTAACACCCGGTAAACCCTTGCGGCAGATGCAGCGCCTAACGGTGGGGGTGAGTGGATGCATGTGAGTCTCACAACCACTGGCACAAGTACCGAGAACGACCCCATAAGCCGCATCCATGTACCCCTTGTGCCTGGCCACTAGTTCCCAGTTGACTGTGGGTAGCAGCACAGCTGGAAAAACCGCTCCCAGGCAGGTCTTGAACCAGGTACCGTATCTCAATCATGGTCTTTGACCAACCCACTGTGCCTGCCTGCATGTACTGCATGCAGTATTCATTGTACGTTTTCTTGTACAGTATACTGTCAAGCCTCTTTTAGGGGCAAAAATTAACACAATGGATTAAAATGCAATACACCATACACTAGAGAAGAAATGAGGAAAATGCATGCGTATTATTATTATTATTTAAATAGGCGTCGAGGCGACAATAGTTTTAGAATTGCGATCAACAGAACGAGCTGAACCGACATTTCACAAAGGCTTTTATTGTATTCAAAAAAACGAGTGGATACGAAGGCAGTGAAGAACATGGAAGAAAGAAAAAATGTGATATGGAGAAAATGATGAACAAAAAAATCGTACTTCGAACTAGTTTTCGCACAACACTCCTCAAGAAGCTACGTTGTACTAATGAAAAACAATCCAGATAGATACTAATAAAGAGAAATGGAGTGAGAAGAAACAACACCTATGAAAATGATAATCCTAGCACTAAGGCAATAACAGGAAAAACTGCCAAAGCACTTAACGAACTTGTAAAGACTACTAGTATACTGTGACACAAGATATGACACCATGGCCAACCAGGGCCAAACAGACAGAACAAGCTGCTACTAGAACAATTTAAAACGAATAATGCTGTCCTTCTGGACACACAGATTAGGCTTATGAATACGTTGACAAACAGCTTCTCACACACTCAACTGCAACTTATAACCATGACGAGCACGGCACAAAACAGAAAAAGAAGAATCAGAATACACCTTGCAGCAATCAGGACGAGATACAAGATGCTTATACACTGATGACTTCCTACTAGAAAACACACGCTCGCACCCACTCTTACTCACACAATCATTCTCGCTCTCACACTCACCGGACTCACTGGACTCACTGGCCGAATCCTCCTCAACGACGTCCTGCCTAGGAGCAATCAGGTCCCATCTCCTCCCATCCCTTGTCTCACGCTCCTGTTGTGCATTCCGTTGGCTCTGTACTTCCGTACTGAAATAGGTCATGGTGTAATTCGCAGTTGTTCTTCTGGGTCTCGTTGATATTGAGGTAGGTATTGTTGTCGTCTCTGCCGGTGATGCAGCAAGCGATGATGACGCAAACGTGTCTGCATGCAACACACGTGGCGTCGCCAAAGCCACATCCACCTCCGCTGGTGGAGGGAGTGACTTGGTCATGGCCACGGGAGCCAATGGTGGATTTGCCGAGTGGGACGCTAGGTCCTGTGTTGGCGGAGGTAGTGGTTGTTTACGGGGTCTTCCCCGCGTGGGACGCTCCAGTTGTGCGCTACGTGGGATAATGTGTAAAGGAGTGTGTTGCTTGATGCGTTCGCTCAGGTGCTGAACAGTCCTACCAACATACCGGCTAGCACAATTCCGGCATTTAAAGTTGTAGATTACATGACTTAAATGATGGGTTGGTAGGACGTCCTTCAACACCGTGAACGAACGCATCGTTGTGTAGACGGGTATGAAGTGTACTGCATAGTAGGTTTGTTTGATGATCGCACGAACTTCACGACTCACATTGTCAGACTTCTTGCCCTTCCATGGTAAGCACAAAAAGACAGGACAACGAGCAGGCCCTATCAATTCATGTTTCGGCGTGGGGGCTGTAGACAACAGTTTTGCCAACATGTCGCCTGGGTATCCGTTTTTGGTGAAAACTGAACGGAGAAATTCGAGCTCACCACTGAGTTTACAAGGTGAACAGATCCGTTTGGCGCGATCCACGAGATTCTTTACTAAGTTGACTTTATAATTAGACGAACAGTACGAGTCATAGGAAATGTATTGTCCGGTGAATGTCGGTTTACGATAAACCGATGTTACGCTACTAAATTCGGTTTTCTCAACAAGTACGTCGAGGAAGGATAACTTGCTGGACTGCTCGTGCTCACATGTGAAGCGAAGGGAAGGGTGGAGGCTGTTGAGAGCACCAAGAAAGACTTCGCTGTCTTCTATGGAATCAAAGTATGTGAAAGAGTCATCAACGAAACGGAAATAAAGACTCGGCCATAGAGACGCATCAATCTTGCACTCACAGTAACCGACAAAGACATTAGCTAACACGGGACCCAACGGAGAGCCCATGGCTACTCCATCTATCTGCTTATATATCACGTCATTGAACGAAAACTCGACGCCAGTTGTGACTAACAACATCAAACGTCGAAAAGCACATTTTTTTTTTTTTTTTTTTTTTTTTTTTTTTACTAAGGCCACAGCTTCCAATCATGACATGCAAAGCAGCGGTGCAGCATCGCAGGCATGAATCGTGGACGTGGTGACGGGGTCTGATTCAGGTAGCCACGGAGTGTCAACTTCGTCAACACAGTACAACACATCCGCGCAAATATCAATTGTCTCCTCCAGCGGTACGTTTGTGAACAAACTCACTACATCGAACGAACACATATGTGAGTGAGTTGGAACAGGTCGGGCCCGTAGCTTCTCTACGAAATCGAAACTATCTTTGACAGTGTGTCGGCAGTAGTGCTCCTCAACAACTTTCAACCTACACAACCACTTAGAGATTGAATACTGTGGGGAAGCTGTCATGGAGACGATTGGCCGGACAGGACATGTAGGCTTATGTATTTTTGGTAAACCATAAAGGCGAGGACGTAGTGATCCGACCGGCTTCATCAAGTCAAATTCATGTGTAGAGATACTCTTGTCGGCTTTTAGTTTCTTTAGGTAATTGATTAATTCTGCCTCTACTTTCAAGGTTCTGTCAAACTGTCCTACTGGGCCAATTGCTTGGAATTTAGATGTATCAGCAAGGATGACAATCATTTTGTCAACATAGTCAGCTTTGTTCATAATGACTGTAGCACGACCTTTGTC